CCCCCGATCCGCCCCCCCCGTCCCTTTCTTTTCGTACTTCTCCCTGCGTGGATTTCCCGGAGCCCATCCCCGTGGCGCCCGGCCGGCCCTGACCTGCTCCCCACACGCTGGGTGCCCATTGCCGGTCGGAGCTCACCATCGCCACCTCCGCACTGTGACTCAGCCTCTGGCTCCATCGCATCCCAAGAAGCAGCTACTGCAGCAGGAGCCAGGGCCTGTGAATTGTCGTAACTTTCACGCCGACTCCCTTCCTCCGGGCTGAGAATTAGGCATCAGAGTTAAATGCCGGGGACAAACAACCAGCCCCAGCTCCCCGCTGAAGCCCTGTCCCGGCCTCAGCCCTTTTCCAGCCTATGGAGCTTAGCCCAGAGAAGGTGAAGAGGCCTGGCCCCCCGGCTGTAAATACCTGCTGGGGGTGGGGGCACTGCAGCATGGCAGTGGATGGTCTGACGCCATCCCCTGGCTGGGAGTTGCAGGCAGAGGAATTCACACTAGGAGGGAGGTGCACCTGTCTGGCAGGGAGGGGAATTAGCTGCTGGCACAACTCCCTGAGGGCTGGGGTGGATTCTCCATCCTGGGCTGTGCGTGAAGCCGGACGGGAGGTTTGTTTAGAAGATCTGTCTTCTATCCCCCCGCAGTTCATTCCGGGCCCTCCCCGGCGTGCGGGTTTGCCCAGGTGATCCCAGTCTTCCCGTCCAACCTTCCAGCTGGGAATTTTCCAGGCGACTGGAGTGGTGGCGAGCTGAAACGTGGCTCGGGGAGTGGGGTTCAGAGCCCCTCTCGGTCATGGCAGCTCTGGCGTTCCTCGCCCCCATCCCACCCTCAGCTTCCCTCTCCTCCACAGAGACTCCCCGCGCGCCTCAGAGCCGGGTTTCTGCTGTGGGAGAAATCAACCGGCTGCCGTCCTCTTGCCCCCTCGTAAGGCAGCAAATCCGAGGCCCAGGCCGGACGGTTCCGGGGTGGGGAGCAGGTGCGGCCGAGGGCTGGATTTCGTCCTCGTTGGGGCGGGGTGGGTTATGGCAGCCACTCTGGCCCAGAGTGAAAGCTGAGTAAATAGCAGGGCTGCGTTCCTGCCAGGAACGGCCGGGAGCCGGAGCCTGCTCCACAAACCTCTGCTTCTCTGCAGGGCGACAGCGGGGAGATGGGTCTAGCTGGGTTAACAACCCCCCAGTGACCAACCCCGGTCCCCCGCAACTGCTCCAGGGGCCCCCCAGGGGCTCAGGATAGAACCCAGGAGTCCTGGCTCCCAGCCCCCTCGTTCTAACCCACTAGCCCCCCACCCCCCTTCATTCCGTCTGACCGCCCCCCCCCACGCCTCCTTCCTTCCATCTGTCCGTCCGTCCATCCATCCATCCCCATACACTCCCCCTACATTTCTCCATCCATCCCCCAACTCCCAGCCGTACCCCGGTCCCCGCCTGCCCCTCCCTGCTGCGGGCTGGCGCCGTGGCGGGGGGAGGCAGGGGGCCCGAGAGGAGCCATGACTCTGATCTCAGGAGCTAGGCCCCATGAGCCTGCGGGACTCCCTGCCACAGGACCTGGCTGAGCAGGGGGGTGGGGCTGGGGTCTCGGAGCCATCGCTGGGGGGGGACGGGGGGTTGGGGCACCCTGTGCCCATCAGTTTCCATGGAAACCCTGTATCTCACCCCCCACCTTCCCCCACACAGATCCCCAACCCCAGAGTCGAGATGGAGCTGGTCAGCGGGCCGCTGCTCGTCAAGAAGCCGGGTGAGTCAGGGCTGTGAGGGGCGATGCCGTGAGGGGGAGGGCGGCCCCACGGCTGACGTGGCCCCTCGCCCCGGTGTCCATGGGCGGTTTGTGGGGGGGCCCATGGCTGACATGGCCCCTCACCCCACTGCCCATGGGGGGTTTGTGCGGGGACCCATGGCTGACGTGGCCCCTCCCCCCCAGTGCCCATGGGGGGTTTGTGGGGGGGGCCGTGGCTGACGTGGCCCCTCCCCCCCAGTGCCCATGGGGGATTTGTGGGGGGGCCTTGGCTGACGTGGCCCCTCCCCCCCAGTGCCCATGGGGGGTTTGTGGGAGGGCCGCGGCTGATGTCCCCCTCACCCTGGTGCCCATGGGGGGCCCGTGGCTGACATGGCCCCGCGCCCTGGTACCCATGGGAGTCAGGGGGGGCCTGTGGCTGACGTCCCCCTCCCCCCAGTTCCCCTGCGCAGCAGCTCGGTGTCGGTGTTGATCCGAGGCTTCGTGGCTGACGTGGGCTGCGAGCTGCTCTACAGGAACGAGGAGCCGGGGCCCGTGGAGGCCGTGTTCAAGTTCCCCGTGGATGCCGAGGCAGCTGTCTACGCCTTCCAGGCCCGTCTGGGGGGGGCCTGCATCCAGGCCCAGCTCCACGAGAAGACACAGGTGCTCGGGGGCAGTGGTCCCGGGGGGGAGAGAAGAGGGGGCGGGGCTGGGGGGATCTTGGGGTGACCCCGTCTCTCCCAGCAGGCGCAGGAGCAGTACAAGGATGCACTGGGTGGGGGGCAGAGGGATGTCAGGGGACGGGGGGATCTCGGGCTGACCCCGTCTCTCCCGGCAGGCGCAGGAGGTGTACGGGGATGCGGGGGGCAAGGAGCTGTTGGGGGCAGGAGGATGTCGGGGGACAGGGGGATCTCGGGGTGATCCCGTCTCTCCCGGCAGGCGCAGGAGGTGTACAGGGAAGTACTGGCCGGGGGGCAGGGGGATCTCGGGGGGCAGGGGGATCTCGCTGTGACCCCGTCTCTCCAGCAGGCGCAGGAGGTGTACGGGGACGCGCTGGCCGGGGGGCAGGGGGATATCAGGGACAGGGGGATGTCGGGGGGCAGGGGGATCTCGGGGTGACCCCGTCTCTCCCGGCAGGCGCAGGAGCTGTATGGGGACGCGCTGGCCGGGGGGCAGAGCTCGTTCCTGCTGCAGCAGGAGGGGGCCGGGGGCGATGTGTTCAGCTGCTCCCTGGGGAATCTGCCCCCCGGGGAGGAGGCGGTGCTGACCCTGCGCTATGTCTGCGAGCTGCCGCTGGAGCCTGACGGGGCCGCCCGCTACGTGCTGCCGACCGTGCTGCGCCCCCGCTACACGCCCCGCGGTGAGACCCACAGCCCCCCCTGCACCCGTTCCGCGCCCTCCGGTGAGACCCACAGATCCCCTACCCCTGTCACGGTGAGAGCCAGAGTCCCCCCCACGTGCCCCATGGTGAGACCCACAGATCCCCCTGCCCCTCCCACGTGCCACACGGTGAGACCCGCAGCCCCCCACCTGCCCTCCGGTGAGACCCACAGATCCCCTACCCCCGT